GTTAATCGGATTGTGTTTTAAGACTGAAAATTTAATCGGCGCGTGGATTGTAGAACTAGTCATGTATATATATATATATATATATATAAAAGTGTAGTGTTACAAGAATAGGGCTTGCAAATTGAAATTGCGTTTTGCTTCAATGTCGTGAGGAAGTTGTTGCCGTTAGTGCTTTTAGATTAACTCCGTCTGTCTACGCGATTAATGTAATGGTCGCGTACTTCGTAATAAAGTCAACATTGTCGCAACAACGGTGACCATTGAATTTCTCGCGGATATATCAAGATGACATCTTTTGCGTTCTCGATGCGCGTCGCGATAACAGTTAGAATACAGTTAGCTTTATATTCTAGTACGAAACAATGAAGACTCTCTAAAATTAAAGTGATACGTAATTATACTCTGTACTCTGATGCGTATCTCGATATCTTCTTTGCAGTTTTAACTTCGTTGTAAACTTTCTTTCGTACAATGCCGTTAGTGCAATGTTCGCGTTAGTTAAAATAATTTTTAAAGAAATATATATAGAATCTCCTAGTATCTTCTTATATGACAATAATAAATTTCTTGTCAAAGTTTAAAATAATTTATTCTTTGTCACCCACAAAATTCTTTCTAATGCCTCGTCGCGGAATTAATCGGTATGAAACATTTTATGTATGTTGTTCCATTTGATGAACTGAAATATTTGATGTATACAAATATAAATTATAGTTATATACACAGTTATAGTTCTTACGTGTGTGTGTGTTTTTTTTTAATACAGGAAGAATTTTGTGAAGCAACAAAAGAACTTAGGTGCATGAGAACGGCAATTGACGTTTGACATCTAACTGTCATACGAATCCGGCGATTTCTCGCAAAATCGAGATGGAGCTTCTCTCTTTATTTTCACCGCCTTAACCCAGAATACACACATTCATCTTTTCTATTATCTACGTTTTTATACGCACCCCTCTCCTCTCGTTGAACCCGGCAATTCCGGCAACAATGAGACGCAGTTTCCCATGAGAGGCATTTGTGACTCCCGATCTAATTAGTTTGCTCGTCGCGACCTTTTTTTTTTTTTTTAGATCATTAATGTTAATTAGAAACAAGTGTGTGAGTGGCGTGTGCAACAGGCACTTGTTCTCTTGTAAAAGTGTAAAAATTAGAGTGTTTTCTGGAATGTGAGACAATATGATCGAGGTGAGCGGTATTCAAATTAAAAAATATTGATAAAAGTGCAGTGTATAAATTTATTAATTATTTACTTTCGACGAATTAAACACACAAAACTATTTTCTTAATTTTTGTGTCAAGTTCATGATTGAAAATTAACAACTCTTGTTTACAGGGAATTCTTTTCTGTAGCGACTACTCTTGCGAAAAGCTAACGAACACCGGACTCACTGAAAGTTGCTTCGAAGCAAAGTTATTCTTATAAAATAAATAGAATAACAGCTGAGAACAAGATGTAGGATGCGGGTCGACATATCCTTGCGTGCGGCATTGTTCACACGCGCGTGCGTTAAACGAGGCGCTATTTTAATTATTGTCCCGTCTAACGGAATACCGCTTTGAGAAAATAGCCGGAAATTGCTCGCGTTCGCGATCACAGGCAAAAGCATCCATGCTGCATTCGCGACGCATCCTTGGTACCCTCAATGGATGCCACGCCGAAGATCGACACGACAATGCATTCGTGGACGCGTTCCGCAAAGCCGTACAGAAATCAGAGCGCGTATTCATCGAGCGTGTCGTTGGACCGGCGTCTACAATGAGATTTTAAGGCGTGAAACTTACTCTCTGAAACTTTTTAAGTGAATCTCATCTCTGAAGAGTGAAATCTCACTCTTAAAGATTAAAAATTAAGCCACCCTCTTTCTAAGATTAGCTTAAAATTCTCTTTACTCTTTACAGTTTTTATTTTCATCTCCCACCAACTATGTCACTATATATACATATGTATTTATATATTATATTTACACACGAATGTCTATTATTTTTATATTTTTCATTTACAATACAAATACTGTGGATGAGATTAATATGTTCAAACAAGTGCGATTAATGTGACCAGAACACGCCAAGTTTTTTCTTCACTAACAATCCAATCGACCATTTTAGTATCAATCCATCTTACGTTTCTTGCGTTACGAAATACTCGGCTGATTGCATTTATTTCGTATCCGTTTTTTAAAAGGAAATTAATGGAATGCAATATTCGATATCTTTTCTTTTTATCTTTTCCTTTTTAAGGGGGTTATTTTTCGAGATTTCCCTGCTTTTTGTAAACTTTCATAACGTCGCCGTTGATGCCCGGCCGTCGCCCGAAGTCGTAAGTAAGTACGGAGTAAAGACGTAATGCCAAAAAGGTTAATAAAACTCTCCTTTTTCTTCTCTTTGTGTGCGTAGCTCAGAACGAGCGAAATTTCGATCGAGTCTCTGTATGACTCGTGTGTGTTCTAGAGTTGAAACTTCATTCTTTTTTTTACTCGTTAAAATTTCCTGTATATAGACGCCGCTTAAGGTAAGCGTACCTTACCGGGTAAG